AATTCTTTCATGAAATTTGTTTTGGATCAGATCATTGTCCCTTGGTCATTAATTGTTGTGTCCCTCTTGCTCGAGTGCCAAAACAATTTAAATTTGAAACTCTGTGGACTACAAGTCCAAATTGTGCGGCTACTATTCAAGCAAAGTGGGACCAAGATTATTCGGGTTCTCAGATGTTTCAACTTGTTCAAAAGTTAAAGAGGAGTCAAAGGAGTTTGTGGACTTGGAGTGCTAAGGAATTCGAAAATGGAAGGAGGACCATTGAGAAGCTTAGGGGACAGATTGCTCACTTTCAAAGTCAACCTTGCACACCGGTTAATGCAGCGCAATACCAGCTTTTGTCCCAAGAGTTAGAAACGGCCATGCAGAGGGAAGAGATGTATTTACATCAACACTCCCGAGTGCACTGGCTTAGCTTTGGAGATCGAAATTCCACATTCTTTCATGCTACAATTACTCAGCGCCGCCAAAGAAACCAACTCTTGCAACTGAAATGTGATGATGGCAGTCTGTTGACGTCAGAGTCGGGCATTAATTCTCACTTGTTCAATTATTTTTCGACCCTTTTTCGGTTCGTGATAGAGGTGATATGACTGAAGCTCTTGATATGGTGTATCGAGTTATCTCGGATGACGTAAATGGGTTGTTGATTCGAGATGTGTTGGATGAGGAGATTAAAATAGCGGCTTTTCAACTTGGATCACTGAAAGCTCCCGGACCAGATGGATTCCCTGGGTACTTCTATCACCATCATTGGGATATTATGGGGCCATCCTTGTGCTCGGCGGTGAGAAGCTTCTTTCAGAGGGGTTTTTTGTTGAAGGAGCTTAACCAAACAAACTTGGTTCTCATTCCCAAAGTGGCAGCCCCAGAAAAACTATCACAGTTTTGGCCCATCAGTTTGTGCAACTTCAACATGAATGTGATCACCAAAATTCTTGCAAACCGGCTGAAAAGGATCCTAAGTGCTGTGGTTTCGCAATATCAGTCGGCCTTTGTGGCTGGACGGCTGATTCAAGACAACATTATTGTGGCTCATAAGGCTTTCCATGCAATGAAAATTCGCAAGGAAAAGTGGAGGATATGGCGATTAAAGTGGACTTCAACAAAGCTTATGATCGGGTGGATTGGAGCTTTCTTAGGGCCGTGTTGACTAGGATGGGTTTTCACTCTCAATGGGTTCACTGGGTGATGGAATGTGTCTCTACGGTCTCCTTTTCAGTGTTCGTAAATGGGGCTAAGCGGACTAGCTTTAAACCTATGAGGGGTCTCCGCCAAGGGGACCCTCTTTCGCCTTATTTGTTTGTTCTTGTCATGGATGTGCTATCGAAATTGATTGATCGCAGTGTTCAAAACGGGAGATTATTTGGGTTGCAAATCAAGAGGGACTGTCCAACGTTATCCCATTTGTTTTTTGCGGATGATGCGATGCTTTTTGTCAAGGCCAACAGGGCGGAGTGCCATGAAGTCTGCCATTTGCTGCAAGTCTTTGGTCAAGCCTCGGGCCAATCGGTTAACTTTGACAAATCGGAAGTGCAATTCTCTGGCAATGTCCCAAGGACCCGACGGATGAAGGTGTGTAATTTGCTCGGTATTTCTCAGCTACAAGCTTCCTCTAGATATTTGGGGCTGCCGTCATGTTGGGGTCGCTCTAAGGCTGAAGCTTTTAATTTTTTGTGTGAGAAAATGTTGTCTAAATTGCAAGGTTGGAAGGCGAAATTACTGTCACACGCAGGCCAGAAAGTCCTAATTAAATCGATCGCCCAGGCAATGCCCACTTATGCCTTGGCATGTTTCTTGTTTCCTAACTATCTTTGTGATAAACTGAGCTCTTACATTAGGAACTTCTAGTGGAAAGGTGATCCCGAGGGGGGTGGTATTCATTGGGCCAGTTAGTATAAATTGTGCTTGACAAAAAGAAATTGTGGCTTGGGTTTTAGAGATTTTCGAGCTTTTAATCGAGCTCTCCTTGCCGGTCAAGGCTGGAGACTTATTAAATTTCCAGATTCTTTATTTGCTAAAATGATCAAAGGCATATATTACCCCAATTCAGATTTTCGTCATGCCTCGCGAGGGGTGCGACCTTCATGGGCTTGGCTAAGCCTTCTTAAGGGCAGAGACATTATCACCGGGGGTTTAAGGTGGCAGGTTTTGAATGGTAAATCTATCAACTTCTGGGATGACCAATGGATCCCTTCGAATTTGGGCTTTCATGTTCAATCAGTGAGGCATAGTGGGGTTTCAGTGCAAAAGGTGAATGAGGTGATCAACTTCTCTTGCAAGTCCTAGGATGCTCCGAAGCTCAGAAGCCTTGTGTCTGCATCGGATTGTGATGCTATTCTCTCAATTCCAGTTTCATTAGAGGATAAAGACGATATTATTCTTTGGCACCATGACTCCAAGGGCTGTTATACGGTTAAGTCGGGGTACCAAGAAGCAGTGAAACAAGTGCACTTGGGCTCAAATCTTCCTTCTTCTTCCCTGGCTTGGTCTCCGAAAGATTGGCAGATTGTTTGGAGCTTGAACGTACCTCCAAAACTCAAGCACTTCGTTTGGAGAATTTATCACAATGCTCTGGCCACCTCCCAAAACCTTTATAATAGACGGCGTGCAAATTCGGGATGCTGCCCTGTGTGTTTGCAAGCGCCTGAATCTATTAAGCATTTTTTGTTTGAGTGTGAATGGACTAAAAGAGTTTGGCTTGGGTGTGTTCTTGGTCTAAGATGCGATGCTCTTGACAATTCTTCAGCTCGGGATTGGTTTAGATAATGTTTCGCATCTCTGGGTGCTTCTACCTGGGGTAGGTCCGTGATTTGCTCAATGGTTTGCGTTGCTTGGACCATTTGGAAAGGTCGCAATGATCATCTGTTCAATCATTGTCTGGTTGATCCTACAGCAGTGGTTGAGAAGGCTAAGCGTGATGAATCAGAGTTCTTGGCATCCTGCCAAGTGCCCTCCACACCCTCACATGTGCCACAGGGGTGATCAGTAGAGGGGCTGAGTGGGTTCCTCCTGCTAGAGGTAAGTGGAAGTTTAATTATGACGCCGCAGTGGATTTGAATCAAGGCACGGGAGCTATAGCAGTTCTTCTTCAGGACCACCTGGGCGTTCTGGTGGATGGAGTGGTGTGTAAGGTTAGTGTGGTCAGTGGCTCAAGGTGAAATCTTGGCAATTCGCCATGCGTGTCTTATGGCCGCCATTCACAACCTTGTTGAAGTGGAGTTTGAAAGTGACTGCAAATCCGTTATTTAGCTCTGTGTCTCAGAAGGAGTCCCCCCATGGGAATACCTTGCTGTGCTGAGTGATGTAAGATCGATGGCCTCACACAGGCAGTGGGTCTTTCAATGGTGTCCTAGAAATTGCAATAGGGTTGCCCACTGGGTTGCTTCTGCTTTTTTTCGTAATGTTTTAACCTCTAATTGGGTTGCCCAACCACCTATGGGTCCTGTTAGGTGCTTATCTTCAATCTATATATTGTTGTTCTGCTATTTTACCCTATCAAAAAAAAAAAAAAAAAAATGAGCTATACGTAGTTCTTTCCCAATCAAATTTGATATCACGTCAGTAAATTTTATTTGATTGTAGACGGAAATAAATAATAGGAAGTAAATTGATTAAATTAAAAAAGTTTAGGAATCAAATTAAAATAATGTGTAATATGTGTCAAATTAAAAAATCACTGCAGGAAATTCAGCTTTTAGTGGCGTTTAAAAAACGCCGTTAAAAGTGCCAAAAACGCCACCAATTCTTTTTGTGACGCTTAGCACCAAACGCTGAGGACGCGGCCGTCGCTATAGCTTTATGACGTTTTAAAAACATCGTGATATTAGTATAGGCGGCGTTTTTAAAAACGCCGCCAAATGTCCTCCTAAACACACGCTGATGACGATATTTAGCGACGTTTTTTGAAAAACGCCGTCATATCCTTTTAAACAAATACGACCGTTAATATGTAAGGTTTAAGAGGCGTTTGTAAAAACACCGTCATATCCTTTTCTTTTTTTTTTGAAAATTGTACTAATTTTATTTGATTGAACTAAAAAAATATCTGTAATAGCACTAATATAAAATAACAACTCCCATTCAAATAATTGTAATAAAGCATTAATTCACTTTCTCATTCAATTAATATCCAATCACCATTACCCACAAAATTAACATATCCAAAATCCAAAACGTTAACCACAAACTAACATATATCCAAAAATCATATCTTAACATTAACCACAAACTAACATATATCCAAAAATCATGTCTTAGCATTAAAGTTGTAGTCTTCACTAGTCTACATATCTGCATCATAACATAAACTGTAATGAGATTCACCAAAATAAACACAAATTGAAGAATTCGTACCCAATACTTATAAATAGTACTTAAAACTTGAAGAAGCACTAACAAGAAGATTTTATCACATACCAAGAAGCACTAAATACATATAAAGAAAAAATAAAAATAAAAATAAAAATGCTATTCAAATTTGAATCCAACCAAAAATCTGGGCCAATGTTGAACAGGTCTATGATGAACAAATCTAGAACTTTAATTGACAATAAAAAAAATAATTGATGTCACCACCTGATGCTCTCCAATTCAGCAAAACACCATTCTTTCTAAAAAAATTGCAAAAATTGCCAACAATTTCTTCAACGTATGATCAATTTCAGACGAGAGAGTATTCATGAACTCAAATCCAGGCAAGAGGCTACAAAACCCGTAAAAAAAACAGAAAAGAGAATACAAGATCATTGAAGCTTGAAATACCCATTTAAACAAGTGTACAAGCCCAATTCAATAAAAGATGCAAATCCAACTAAATTCCTATACTTTGATTAAAAGGAAATAAATTATAGAAAGTAAAAATTATACAAAATAACGTAAAAGGAAAAGAAAAAGATGCCTAAAGCTACGATGAGCAAATTGGAACAAACATGCCTAAAGAAAACAAATTATTAAATTTTCTAAATTATCCCAAACTCTATAACTATTTTCAAAATGGGCAAAACGTTAACCACAAACTAACATATATCCAAAAATCATGTCTTAACATTAACCACAAACTAACATATATACAAAAATCATGTCTTAGCATTAAAGTTGTAGTCTTCACTGGTCTACATGCCTGCATCATAACATAAACTGTAATGAGATTCACCAAAATAAACACAAATTGAAGAATTCGTACCCAATACTTATAAATAGTACTTAAAACTTGAAGAAGCACTAACAAGAAGATTTTATCACATACCAAGAAGCACTAAATACATATAAAGAAAAAATAAAAATAAAAATAAAAATGCTTTTCAAATTTGAATCCAACCAAAAATCTGGGCCAATGTTGAATGCTTATTGTTGAATGCTTATTGTTGAATACAGTTTGTAACACAAGAAAGACTAGAAACTTACAGTTTGTAGCATCATCCTCATTCATTCCCAAGAAGAGAGAAGCATCTTGAATGCTTATTGTTGAATAAGCAGCTAGCAGTAGCTGAAACATCTTTGTGGTGTAAACATCTGCAAAAAAATGATCAAAAGATAATTTTGACAACAAAAAGTGCCATAAGGTAAAACTTCTCTCAATAGAGGAAGATAACAAGAGTCATTGCCTCTTAACTAATTCAGGACCCTATACATAAACAAAAAAACAAAGTAACAAACCCCCATCTCCACCTCCAAGGTTTCCCCACACACAACAATTACATCATTTAATCGGGGAATTGAAATATATGTTGGAGTATCTTGAGGCGTTCTTACAATATTAATCATTTCATGGTTGATAACATATCTCAACATGGCATATCTCATAATATACCCATGCATCATATCTATCTATTTATGGAGAGAGAGGAAACTACGTACCCTGTTTCCTTAAAAGAAAACTCCTTCAGTTTTCTAGCCAACTCAATTTCTGTAGCTACAGCTCCAGGTACTATACAACTGTCCCTGCACATTGCCTAGCACAAAGATGCATAAAGCCACATTCAGATTAGCTTCTTAAGGTCCGGTAGAAACTGATGCAATACTTTTTATAAAAGATGACCTACCTAAAATAAGTATCGTAGATGTGTTGGACAGAATTACCTTGTATGTATTACTATCGGTACTTCCTCATAGGACCACAGTGCATACAAAGTTTCCACTTTCTTCATTTCTCACAATGGTGACCTATTATTTATTAGATATAAAGATCATGTTGGGGAAGAAGATGAAGAAACGTAAGGAAAAAGCCCAAAAAAATAAAACCAAAAGCAGCTTGATCATACCCTAACACCGCCAATTTCCTCCACAGACACAGAATCAATATACCCCAAATCACAATGATAGAATTCCACATCACCTTAATGAAATATAAAATGTCATGGAATATTTTGGTTGCACAATGCCTTAGTTTCTACTGATTTTTTTTTTTTAAATTATAAAAGCTTGCCTAAATTGCTCACCTTACCACATTTTGCAGCAGAGTTTCTATTTTCTGATTGGTTTCCTTCAATTTTGTATGTTTGACCAATTTTTCCAAACTCTTTTCAAGTCCTTCACTTCTCTTGTTGCATTGGTCGATTCTTTTTTACCAATTATTTAGAATTGACCAATACAACAAGAAACTTGTGCCATTAAAGAAACATTTTCCTGAAGTCGCTAATGTCTTCATATGAAGTTTCAGATATCATTGATAGAATGCCAAGATAAAACAAATTACCTTCTCTATTAGATATTTGAAAGCCACCTTCTTCTGTCCTGCTTCATACATATTGCATTGTGAATATATCTGAAGCCAAAAAACCATAAACATTTCATAAGAAGTGGCCAACCATGTATAATATCTTTTAACACCTTAAAATTCAAACCAACAAAAAAGAAGAAAGAGGAGGCAGATGATGAAAAAAGCAGCAGCTGAAAGCATCTTTACCTGTGATTCTACACTCAGCCAAAAAGTGATGATTTCATGCTTGTCAACTTGTTCAGATACTTCTTCTTCCATAATGACGTCTGTATCCTTACAGCCTTCATTTTCATCACATGCACTCTCAGATGTGTTTGGTTGAGGGTACCCAGAAGTTCCCAGATTGCCCACATACATGGCATTTGTTGATTGAACACCAACTTGATCAGCCTCCTCAACAATTTCCATTTCTTCGTCACTGTCATCATCAACATGAGGTAAATTCATTGGATGATTGAGGCTAAATTTCAGGAGATTCAAGCTTCTACGAGCATTCCACCCTGTTGAATAACCTCCATAAGGGTCAGCTTGGTTTCCATTTGCCTTCATCCGAAGCAGTTCATCCTGAGGAAAATATAAAGTTAGTAAGCTTTCATATGTTTGGACTTTGGTGTAAGTGGTAACAGATATGATTTACTTCTAAAAATGCAAAATCAAACAAAATATATATATTTATACCTTCAATTGCCATATCACTTCACGCAAGAAATTCACATCATCCTGCATTACTTCATTAAGGACTGCCCTGTTCTTGTTAGCCTTTGCACGCTGGGCAAATCTCAGTGTGCTTAGAGTCTCACTCTTACAGCTGCATTACTACCTCAAGTCAATTTCGCATGCGCCAGAGGAATTAAAAATTCAATACATGCTAATTTCACCTTTGCACAGGAGAAATGGCACAGACCATTGCTAGTTTTGCATTTCCACCAAGAGATTCCTGCAATAAAAATGTCAACCTGGAATCTCTGTAGGGAATATGCCTTTGCTTTCCTGATTGGGAAACTTCTGCAAGAATGTTTATCAAGTTCCTGCAAAACACATAGATAACAACAATAAGCATGGGAAAAATGACTGTATCTTGACACAAGATCAGAATAAAACCTTCATATGTTACATGACAGGCAGTAGCCACAGCACTTCTTTTTTAACATTACACACAACCAAATATATACTTGTTGCACCTATCCTCCTGTTTGACAATCCCTGCATCATTTATCCAACAATCATGTACAGAATGTCTACCATACCATCCATTCCAAAGCTAGAAAATTTATGAAATGCAAAGCATCAAATAAAAAAGTAAATACAAATACAGTCACTATATCTTAATCTAATCCAATGGCAAATCACGTGAATCAGATCAAAACATATACAGATATTAGACAAAGAATAGAGGTAATTCCAACATTTAACTTTTGGTAAGTGTTACGTATACCCACCAACCATGACCTACAGTAGCAAAGAAATCCATTACAACTCTACAGTTCAGATGATTCTCTCTAGGAGATGCTGTAGATGATGCAACATAACAGAATGACTATGCTAACCTTCATTAAAAGCTGTGTGACATCTTTCATTGTAGATACACATTCCTTTGTCAAATTCTCAACATAGACACCAGAGTTGACATCTTCTCTTATCTAGAAAGAAAAACCACACAAAAAACTTAAGCAAACCACATAACCATTTCACAAAAATTCAAACAACATAATTGACATAACAGCTTTACCTGGAGGTTTCTTTGGCTTGGATCCAACAAATCAGTGATTTGTTCATTGTAAATCTGTACATACCAATTTTAAAGGATTAAGTAAATCTAGAAATTAACCTAAAATGTTCATATTTATGTCAAGTAATAAATCCAATTACTTAACCTCAAGAAAAGAACAGCGGCATTGATACATGAGTTGCTTGTCAGCATGCTTAGTTTGCTCCTATGATTTAAAAAAGGGTTAAACAAAAAAAAGCACAAAAATTATAAGAATGTTACCATCAACAAGTTAGATAATGAAAAGAATATAATCACACCTCATTTATGCAGGCAAAAAGGATATTTGTCAGCTTCTATAACACCACCACTTCCTAACTGGCAAAGAAAAAAATTTGTTCCAAAAAAAGTTTTGAGAATTTAAATAAATTATCATATTTGATTTTAGAAAATCAGGTTCACTTTTTAGGAAATTAAATTTTTTAATGGCAAGAAGAAGATTTCCGTAATTAGGTTCATTGATGGCAAGAAGAAGATTTCCGTAATAAAGTAAAACTAACATTGCTTTTTGTATCTTGAAACATTATAAAATCTCTCTCTTGAGACATTAGGACATGTAATCAACATTTATAACAACTTAATGAGACACATTACACAATCCAAGCCACCAAGATCAGAATAATGCATGAAAGACATGAGGAAGAACAATCAGACTTGAAGGACTCATAATTGGTAACAGAACAAGTAGTTAACTGGAGATCTGAATGATGAATGCTTAGTTAAAAACATTGCTCCAAAGAGATAGCAAAAAAACTAATAATTTAAGGCCACAAGCGTCTTCAAACCTGCGTTCCTGAGTGCCTCTGAAGGCAATCACAATAGCGTTAAGATCCTTAGCCATCCTAACAAATCCCTGCAATGCATATTCATAATTATTGTCAAGATTTATAGCACAAAGAACTACAAGTATGATGTAAATGAATCTTGCCAGAGAAAATTTGCTCTTCTTTAGCATATATGCTATGAAAAATGCACCTGTAAGCAGTGCTTGACATCAAAAATTATATCTATCACTTCAAATCCCTGCTTCGAACAAGAAGAAACCATCACTGACAATAACCAAGAATCAAAAGCAGCAACAACGAAACATCTTATTGCTAAAAAAGGTTATTCTTTCAATTAGCTAGGTGAAATAGTTATTAAAATACCTTATGTACTTTCAATATATATGCATAGAGAACGGAATGTTCATAGCTTATAAAGGTCATACCTCCACCAGCGGTTCATCAGAATTTTCAGACTCAGTGGATGCTGAAAACAACCAAATTCTCATTAAATCATAAATATGCAACAGGTAGTGTGTGTCTTCTCTGGCATATCTAATAAAAACAAAATATGATAAGTCTGATGATTTGGGTGACACACGGGCCTGGATAAAACTAAAAAACGCATGTTACTAGTCAATCCATTTCTTCTGAGCTGTTGAAACTTGAAATTAATCCATAGGGTCAATATGTTGGCTTTAGGAACGACACATCGACTAACACAAATAATCAAATAAAAATACTCAAACATGAACTGCTATGATACAGAGGGCAGAATCTGTCAAATTGAATGCCCTACACCCTGGAACATGAACAGAGAGCATTACTCACTTAAATATTCTTGCTATCTTTTTTAATTCCAACATACAATTCACATAAAATGGTTCAGATTTAATTTCTAAGACCATGGGGGACAATGAAGACTACCCAAGATCCTTCCTCAATGCACAGTTTGAGAAGCAAGAATGTGAGTGCCAACCTTGAAAACTGCAAGATTCAAAGCACTGCTAGAGCATCTAGAATAAAATTTTATATTCCTCTTATTGATTGTTCTTTTGTGTATTTTCATTGTGTTGAAGAAAACAAAATTCTTGTGTAATTCATAAGGAAAAGTCCAGTAAAATAAAATGTCAACTCAAACCCAATGGGCAAAGTGGCATGGCAGAATGCAGGGTGCAGTAACTTCTCCAAGGTCAGTGGATTGTACGATAATCTTATATACTTTTGGAACCTTTTATTACATGGAACCTTTTACCACTCAATTGTCCACCCTTAAGAAATAAAGATAGCCAACTTATTTTCCTCACAAATAATTAGAAGTTCCAAACAAGACATTTGTCCATATCTTATTCAAAGTACCTTCACATCTCAAAAACAAAACAAAAACTCCTAACTAAAAACAATAAAACAAAAGAAACAACAAGATGAAAAAGGCAGAAAAGAAATTAGGAAAGTAAGGATCATTGGTCACAAACAAACACGTACCTGAGCATCTCATCAGGGAGAGGGCGAAGTCTCCAATCTGCATTTCAATAAAAATATCCCCTCATACCCACGTGTTGTCCTAGATCACAACAAAACCTGGGTGATAGCACAAGCAAGCAGCTTTGTAGCTGATCACATTGCCCCAAATGGGTCAACTCGTAATGACCATTGCACGCGCCAACAGTTGCGTGTAAGCAGCAACCTGTTCATCAAATTGTAACACCATGGCCACCGGTGATAATGCACCTGCAGAACCACCAAACCAGACGCCACCTGGTCATTCACCATAAACCACACACATGTAGAAGCACTGAAATAACCAACGCTGTAGACCCATCAGCAGACGGTCGTCCAAAGCCTTTGAACGGCGGCACCTAAACTGTTTTAAATCTGAAATACATACTCACTCTCCCTCATAAATGGGTAGAGGAGCAAAACAACTGGCTAATACTACACCAGAACATCACCACCGGGGGGAGTTTAAGCTCTACTTTCTTCCCTGAGATGAGCCCTTAGTAGGCTCCAAACAATGCAAACTAAACCCTCCAATTCAACATGAACTGGAGGCAAGCCTGGACCTTATTACAAATCTGTATATGTGGTCTTTTGACTGTTTTGTTTTGGTTTTTCTTCTTTATAGTGTATAGCTAATGTAGGGCCTGAGGCATGTCTTTTGTAATCTTGTTTATTTTTCTGTTTTATTTGTCTTATTCATTAAAAAAAAAAAAACAATTTCCAAGACTAACAAAATAACAAAAGTACTTCATACTAATTTATTCCCTGACGAGGGGTCTACCGAATAACTTTTTCTAGGGTAATATCACCACAAAACAAGATGAAACAAAATTAAAATAAGGAATCATCCTCTATTATCAAAAACTAAATACATTTTAATAAAGAAAACACTTACCACTTAAGATCAAATACACCCAAATTAAACCCAATAATAATATTAGATCAACATACCAATAGCACAAATTTTCACTACACTTATAGCAAAACGAAGGATCAATATAAGGGGTTCATAACTCTTACACCGAGAATACAAAATAATCTTATAGCTAAAGGATAAGGGAAACAAAATAACCTCCATTTTAATTGCATGAAAAGCACCGTCACTACACATGCCAAACTTAACCCAAAATGCTCATGTATACTTCTCATATTCACAATTTGTAATCCATAAGTAAGAGTAACTACATAAATTAACATCAATCACTCGCGATGGACGCAAGCACTAATTTTGATGAAAATACTGAAATCATAGTCACATCAACCATCTCATGGCACCTAATCATTTTTTTGTTACAGAAAATATATATTTAAATAAAAGGCACCTAATCATAATCTCCATAGAATCACAACAACCTCACATGATCATTTCAAAAATTTCTTTAAAGACATTGGTTTGCTAAGACAACTCTTGAGACATCAATTACATCATATCCCTATGTACTTATTGCACCTGTGTACAATAAACAACTAACTCTGAGACAATGGACTCCACCAATCTTGAAGGCACTCGAAACTCGCCTACATGTTTTAAAATATCGACTCACGAGTCAATGTTGTTACTACTAATAATCCCATCAAACAGTGTAACCCAAATCAAATTTAATCTCATTCCAATCTATCTCAAAATTATTCATCTCATTTGTCCTCTTAGGATTTACAGTAAAATTATGAATTAAACAAACTCTCTAAGAAACACATTTCTTACTACACGCTATAATTTCTATCATGCTAAGATTACGTTTATTCCCAAACACATACAAAATAATTGGCCTAGGGCCCATCACTAACCTCACAAGTAGTCCATCAAGCAAGTGAAACAATCCAACTATAACTGACTTCATCTATCCCAAGAAAATTTAGAACTAGTTTTACGTGATCTAATGTCAACAATCCAAAGCATATTATCTTAGATTATTTTAATCATTATTAAAGTCACAACCAAACCAAACTATTAGAATAAGGTTAATCTCTAACTCACTCTACTTCTAAGATTTTTTTTCATCTAGTCCACTTCTACAAACTTGATATAAAATTGAAAAATAATTAACTCCTCATAACAACAAACCAGTCGCTACACAACACAAACTCTACTATTTTAAGGTCACATTTACACCCACAACCATACAAATCGGTTAACCTACGCTTTAATACTAATTCCACAACATCTTGACCAATCATCCCGGCCATATTACACTAGCTTACACCTTTTTCCTGGGGAAAAGGTATCCTCCTACATGAGAACATCTCGGGCACCCCAAGTGCCTCTATTATAGCCCCTCCTGTTTTATGACATCTTATACAAGAGACAAAATTTAGCTCAGAAGTAAGTGCTCCACACTAGTTCTAACACGCTGCATACGGATTAAACATAAACCTACACATCTATCTACATCAGATAAGGCAAACCATATAAGCACACAGTCACATAGAGCACATACGAGTTACCCCTCCAAGATATTGACTCTAATAAAAACAAAATATGATAAGTCTGATGATTTGGGTGACACACGGGCCTGGATAAAACTAAAAAACGCATGTTACTTGTCAATCCATTTCTTCTGAGCTGTTGAAACTTGAAATTAATCCATAGGGTCAATATGTTGGCTTTAGGGACGACACAACGACTAACACAAATAATCAAATAAAAATACTCAAACATGAACTGCTATGATACAGAGGGCAGAATCTGTCAAATTGAATGCCCTACACCTTGGAACATGAACGGAGAGCATTACTCACTTAAATATTCTTGCTATCTTTTTTAATTCCAACATACAATTCACATAAAATGGTTCAGATTTAATTTCTAAGACCATGGGGGACAATGAAGACTGCCCAAGATCCTTCCTCAATGCACAGTTTGAGAAGCAAGAGTGTGAGTGCCAACCTTGAAAACTGCAAGATTCAAAGCACTGCTAGAGCATCTAGAATAAAATTTTATATTCCTCTTATTGATTGTTCTTTTGTGTATTTTCATTGTGTTGAAGAAAACAAAATTCTTGTGTAATTCATAAGGAAAAGTCCAGTAAAATAAAATGTCAACTCAAACCCAATGGGCAAAGTGGCATGGCAGAATGCAGGGTGCAGTAACTTCTCCAAGGTCAGTGGATTGTACGATAATCTTATATACTTTTGGAACCTTTTATTACATGGAACCTTTTACCACTCAATTGTCCACCCTTAAGAAATAAAGATAGCCAACTTATTTTCCTCACAAATAATTAGGAGTTCCAAACAAGACATTTGTCCATATCTTATTCAAAGTACCTTCACATCTCAAAAACAAAACAAAAACTCCTAACTAAAAACAATAAAACAAAAGAAACAACAAGATGAAAAAGGCAGGCAAGAAATTAGGAAAGTAAGGATCATTGGTCACAAACAGACACGTACCTGAGCATCTCATCAGGGAGAGGGCGAAGTCTCCAATCTGCATTCTGGTATCTGCAACGAGTTGGTTGGTCAATCTTACAGAATACAGGGACTGGATGTAGGGAGGAGTCAAACAAGAGAAAGCAGCAGATAAGTGGATGTTTCAATAATTATATACAGACCTACTCTTTGTTAGCAGTATGATGAGCTAAAAATGCAAGGAAGAGGTTCAGAAACTCACTTGTGTTTCTTGAATAAAACTTCTAGAACCAACATAGTTCTGAGTGGTGTTTGCATTAAACGCAACTGCAAAAGCAGTGCAAACATCCATATTTGGGGAAATCTACTAAGAAAAATGAATTGAATTAAACAAAGCAAAAAATACAAACGTAAGGTAAACGTCCTCTTAAAACAAAATGACTGCATTACCTTCAATATCATCAGTCAATGCCTCAGCTTCTGCATAGCTGTAATTGCTCACTTGGTTGATATTCATTTCAAACTGATCATCTCTACTACTAGTCACCTTGCTCTCTTTACCACCACCAGTCTCAAATTCACATCCATTTTTCAAACCTTGGTCCTCATCCTCTACAGGAACTTTCAACTCCACGCATTCACACCTGAGACACCGAATCAATTTACATGAAAACAAGGTCACTGCAATTCGATGTCTCCGCAATCTGAACTCCTGTGGACAATCCAAAGCAACAACAATGATTACGTTCTCGATTATATCGAATATATCGGAATTGGAGGTTCGAAAATAACCCAGAAATCATAATTTTTTCTAGGAGGAATCTATGTTCTAATTCCAGGAATAATAAGAAATTCAAAATCAAAAGAGAAATCGAAGGAGCTTACCAACATATCTGATTCGAAACCCCCATATTTGGATCAGGTGTTCTTTGAAACCTTCAGATCTGGCTTTAATTAGTTCGAAATCCTTCAGATCTTGTCTCTTGTTCTTTTCTTCAACGAGCACCACCACAGCCATCCTCTTCCACCACTGTAGCTGTCGATCTGAGGCGATAATGAGAAGACAGCAGCGGCGGTGAGTGTGGATGAGAGAGAGAGAGAGAGAGAGAGAGAGAGAGAGAGATGAGTCTGGTGACAGAGAAGAGTAAAAATGAGCGAGAGAAAAAAAATGAAATCGAAATCAAAATCACTGAGCTTGATGCAGATAGGTTTACCTCTCAGTAAATGAAATCGATTCTGAAGCTTGATGTAGATAAGTTTACCTCTCAGTGATTTCTATGTAGATAATCATCTTGGTAAACAAATTAAATCACCAAGATGATTCCGATCGATTCCCATTCTGAAATCACTATGAGATTTAAGGGATTACCTCTATTCTTTGTCTAATATCTGTATCTATTTTGAGGCATCTTCTTTCTGAGACTGAAGAGTAAAGAATGAGAGTCTCAAGAGGGAGGGAGAGGTGTGAGAGATTATAACACATTCGGAGGCGTTTTCTATCAACTACACGGTGCCGTTTTGAGTAGCACAAAAGGCGACGTTTATAACACGTCGTTAAATATTAAAAAAGACGACGCTTAAGAAAACGCCCTTATATAAACGCCGTCATAACAAACATTTCCTGTAGTGAATGTGTAAGAGTTTGACAAGGTAAAATGATGTTTTCTCTGAATTAGAACTCTCTATAATAACTAAAAATGCCAAAAAAAACCCTATATAAAAAAGTTAAAGATTTTTTTCTTTTCTATTTTTTGTACTTTTTTTTTTGTAAAAAGTTAAAAAAATACTAATACAATTTATTTTCAAACCGACATAAAAAACTTTAAAAAAAAAGACCTGAGAATGCCGGTGTGTCTTGAAGGCACAACAACTTGATATGCCCTCTCGTGAAAACTCGTTCCAAGTCTCTTTCGATAATTTGAACCGTTTATATTAGAAGATTTATCAATAACATTATTCATATAAAAAAATTAAATTAATTAGACAATCATAAACCTATAAATTATTCAAATTCAACGTTTATGTTGTTGTTCTTATCTTGTGATGTAAAGTAAAGACTAGACGGAAAAAAAGGACAGAAAGACGCTTTCATTTTTCTCGATCTCTGCATCTATATGTAGTTAGGTTTTGAATATTGTTTTATCATTATCCAATTTTGGCATGGTCTATTTTGCTTTTGAGGATAGAAAATGTTAGCATATATAAAATTAATGTAAAAAATTTAACGAGAACTATGTGGATAAAATTCAACCGGTTATCCGGACCCACGAAGCGTCCTTTTTTCTTTAATTAAAAAAAAAAAATTTGTCCACTCCCTATCCTCGTTCACATCCATATGAATGCAATACTAAACTTTTTCTCTAGACAACGTTTGATCAAAAGTGAAAGCACAAAATAAATAAATAAATAAAATTGCATTTTAAATTTATTACGAATGTTATATTAATAATTTAAGATCATCACAATTTCTAATCAACTTGTTTTTTATTTTAATGAGTCATTTAAAATGAATGGTTCAAATTATTAAATTGGATCATGGTGAACTCATATTGGGCCAACAATACTATCTAATAGGAGTAGGTGCGGGTCGGTTGCTGTCACGAATCTCCAATCCACCATTCGTCCACCAAATTGGCAAATTAGAGAAAATCAATCCGTATCCGTCCGTCAATTCGACGGATGTAGATTGAGTAGATTGGCAGATTGGCGGATGGATGCGAATCAGTTTACCGGTTTATAATTTTCTAAATTTTCAACATAATTCAACTTATGCACTTCCTCAAAAAAAAAAAGTATTACAGTCAATGACTTAAAAAAAGTATTACAATCACCGCATACCTCATCCAAAAAAGAAAGTTTAAAACTTTAGAATATTACAATCACTACATACATCATTCACATATTACAATTATAGCATGCATCATCTACATAAAGTATTACAATCTGTGGTTCTTAAAATATAAAAATAATTCAAACCACCAAAATCATGAACAGAACAGTAGTAAAGATTGTATGTCTCTGTATTGTTACATCTATATCTGTTTTTGAAAATAAAACCAACCAGCATATATCATCTTTTTTATTTATTATTGTTAGAGTTAGAATTAAAAATCAAAAAATATAGATAAATAACACATTTATTTTTTTCAATTCAAAAAATAAATTCAAGTTGAAAACTCTTTTTTAATAGAATATATTCAATAGAATATTTAAACTCTTTTTCAATTAAAAACACAAATAGAATATCTAAATAAATTGAAACCACAAAGTCTTACAAATTACTAGGGGTGCTCGCGGTTTGGCAGTTCGGTTGCAGCCAAAAGAATCTCAAATCTGTCATCCGTCCAAAACTAGGCAGATTGGAAGAAATCAATTCGCAACCGTCTGCTCGTCATCACGCATTCATCCAAAATGCAACGAATCAATTCGGTTCGATCGATTTGGGCGAATCGATATATCCGCTGCTCACCCCTACCATCCGATCTATTATTTGGATGAGAGAGAAGCTAAATTGTAAAATTTATACAATTTATTTTTAAATAAAATATAAAATAATTTAATATTTATAAAATGACATTAGCAGGTAGGGTTAGGCATAGGGTTATCCAAACCGCCTAACCCGCCCAATCCGAACCAATCCGCATACAAATAGGCCGAGGCACACGGCCTGACGGCTCCGAAAACCGGGAACCGGACTCCGAAATGGGCAAAATGGCCTACGGCCACCAAATGTAGCCTACGGACATTGAGAGATGGTCTACGGGACCTCTCCCTCCCCTCAGGAAAATAAACAGAGAAAACCGAGTTTGGTTCGCAAACCGAGACAAGGCACAGAAGAGGGTTCGGAAGTCCTAGCAGGGCTCACGGCCGCGACTCTAAAACTTCTGAACGAGTACATTATGCAACATCACCAAGCGCTCAATCGGTGACGTCTGAGTCTTAAGGTCGGTCAAAAATGAGGTGTCTACAGCAGGCAGATACGACTTGAGATATGGAATTATTGCGGGTTACAGGTTTGACCCGCACTCACAAGAATTCGCCCACACTTAGACCTTTTTTTTTAATCTACACCATTGATTTCATTCATCCTATCCAAGAAATTTTTGAATTTTTGAATGATTTTACTTTAATTGTATTGTTGGGTAGTGAATGATTTTGATGATTTAGCTTTGGATTTTGAAAAATGTGCATATGTTAATTTATGATTTTATTTAAAAGTTTAGGATTTTGAAAGATTTGCTTGTATTAGGAATTAATTTTGTTATGTTTTTAATTTTATAAGTTTTAATTCATTAATTATTAATGTTGAGCATTTTAGAAAATGGAAAAAAAAAAGATCCAAAATAAATATTTACAAAATGAGAAAAAAAAGGCTCAAAAATAAATTTTTAGGGAAAAAGGTTTAATCCGCAAACCGACCACAACAACCCCCACAAACTGCAACCCGCTCTGTGGGCAGTAACGGGTTCAATTTTTCTCAAACCGCCCATATGCAAGCGGGTCCAAACCACAAATCAAACTGTCCAAAACTAAACTGCAAGAACCCCTATTAGCAGGTCATTTTTTATGTACTTTATATTACAAAATAACACTTTTAAAGAGAACCAACAAAAATGATATAATTAATAATGTCGATTTTATAAATAAAAATTATCTTTTTACGTATTTTGTTTTAAAGTGAAATATCCTATTAAATCACGTCATTCTATATTTTTTTGGTTTTTCTTTCACTTTTTGGGAAAAAAAGAAGAGTATAAATTTGAGAGGGATTCATGGTCTCCTTCAGAGGGGTCTGGTAGGGGTGTAAATCCAGCCCGGGTCATGTCGGATTTCGTGGACTTTTGTCAAAATTTTGGCTGGGTTAGGTCGGCTCACGTGCCAAAAAATTAGGCCCAGGCCTAGCCCTAGGCCCAAGGGTAATCGGGCCTTAGGCGGGCCAATGGGCTAGGCCTCAAGCTTGGGCGGACCTGACTATTTTTTTCATTTTTTTATTTTTTCTATCAAAATTTTATTATTTTTTACTAAAAAAAACACTAGGACTTGGGGGGACCGAGCCTTGAGCGGGCCTTAAGCAAGCCGATGGGCCGAGCTAGGCGGACCGGGTCCACGGGCCGAGCCAGACTTCAAAATGATGGCACAGGCTCAAGGGCTCGAGTTGGGCCTAAACAGGTCGGGCCCATCCCAGGCCGCGACTGGATTTCGGGGCGCCCATGTGCTGCAAGCTATTTTACACTCTTATCGTCTGGCAATGCTAGTAGTAGTAGTTGTTATTGTTGTATCTGGCTTTTAAGCATTATCAAAAGAGTTTTCAAAAAACAATTTGGTATTAGTTTTCGAAATAATTTTTAGAAAATTTTATATTTTATATTTTTTGTATTTTAATATTTTCAATGAATTTTTTTAATATTTTAAGTAATTTTTTTTTTAATTTTTAGACAAACCTAACATAAATACACTTAAAAAGTATAATATTTATGAAAAAAAATCTTTAAAAAATGCACTAAATATCAAAAAAAATACCCAAAAAAATAAAAATTCAATACATTTTTTTATATTTTTGTGTATTTATTAATTTTTTAAAATATTTGTGCACTAATATTTTACTATTTAGATACATCTAAGTAAGGTGTATTTAAAAAAGTATAAAAAAAAATTGCTTAAAATTTAAAAAATATTCATTAAAAATTAAAAAAAATATTAAAAATAAAAAGCTCAATTTAAAAAAAAAATAAATTTAAAAAATTAAAACCAAATACACTAATGAGTAGGGATGAAAAACTAGAGACGAACATGGAAGAGTTCGAAAAGTGATTGAAGCAATACGACGCAGACAAAGATGGCTGAATCAGCACTTTTGAACTTCGAGAAGCCATCCGTGACGCCAGAGATTGGTTTTCGACGTGGAAAAGCAAACGCCGGGTGAAGTCTGCTGACAAAAGTGGCAATGGTTTCGTTGCCGAGAACGAGATCAACAACCTTGTCCAGTTTGTACAAAAAGAGTTGTGTGCGTGAATTGTTCCATACTCA